AATAATGTAATCAAAAAATAATTATACATATATAAACATAAATAAATTTAAATGAATATATACATACATAAATGTACAAACAAGAAAATTATTTATGTCTGTTTATCTAACTGAAAGAAGGAGAATTTGAGTCTTGTTCATTTGTTTATTAAACAAACAAACAAAAACAAACTTTTTGCAAAATGGTCCGTCAAATATTGGATTCATTTACGTCCCTAAATTTGTAATGTGTGTTTTTTAACCAAGACATTTCTTTCTCCTAGAAAGAAAATCTAGGCTGGTCCAAAATTCCTTCATGTTCTATAAGCTTTTCGATCAGAAATAATATATATATATATATATATATATATATATATATATATATATATATATATATATATATATATATATATATATATATATATGAAATGATACAAACACCTACGAATTTTTTAAAATTGATCATTTAAGCTCTTAAAATATTTTGGTGTACGAGGTAGATAATGTGTCTTTTTGATCTCTTTTACTTGTTTTAGCCGGTTTAAATGACACGAAGACAAAACTTGATGCCATCTCTCTTCATCTGGTTCCATACATTTGTGTGTGTAGATTTGTGCTTCTCTTAATCGATTTGGGGCAGATGGTTGTATAATGCTCGACAGAAGAAACATTTCTGGTCCAAATCCAAAACCTTTTTTTATTTTTTTTCTTTTACATACCATCCCTCAATTAATTTCTATACGTAAAAATTCTGCTATGCGCCATTGCTAACAAAACCTTTGTTATCATCAACTTCACTTCCAATTGAGAAAGTTGAAGCCGAAGAAATGACTGTAGATGATTTATTAGAGATATTTGTTAGTTTAAAATTGGAAAATGGTATTTGATCACCTGGGGTGGATCTATAATGGTGCACGGGGTTGCACCGGCAACTACTAAATTTTTTCGTATTAATATAAAAAAAAATTATTATTATTATGCACCTATAAGGAAACGAGTTTATTATTATTGCAATTCATACATATTATAAAAAGTTAGGATAGTTTAGTAGATTTAAGTTCTTCTTTGTGAAATGTCTCAAGTTCGAATCCTGCCCAAAACAAGTTCTTTTTTTTTTTTTTTTTTTTTTTTTTTTTTTTTAATTTTTAATGTACAATTTGTTATTAGCCCCAAAAATATCTAGTCAACAAAAAGGGCATAGTGAATATAACTTGTTAAAACTTAAGGCGTTTCAGTAAAACTCAATTAAATCACTTTCCTCATTATATAAAATTCATATCTTAATCATTTGCTTTTTCATTAACTTAGACAACCATTTAGTGAAAAATCACTTTTTTTTTCATTAGCAAACATATGCTTCCTAGAACTCAAAAGCATTTCAACCTTTTTCGTATTTAATATATATTTTTACATACAATTGGATATGTTAGAGCTACATACAAATTCTTTGTGACCTGTAACCTTTCATATTTCTTTCTAATTTCTTTTCGACGTAATAGCTTTTACATCACAATATATATATATATATATATATATGTATATATATATATATATATATATATATATATATATATATATATATATATATATATATATATATCGATAAAACAATAATACAATAATATGATATATTTTGTGAGAATAGTTTTATGTTTAAAAAACGTTAATTTGTGGATATATTCATGGATTGAAACTATGTAATTTTAATATGTTCTATATGGAAGGTTTCATACACATTACATACATATGTTTCAAACTAAACAACTGTTTCTCTTCATAATTATTAAAATTTAGGTTAACTCAATTCATGTCTCATGTTACATTTTGAATTGATTCATTTGTTTTGTCAAGCAAAATGTATTGAACTTATACAAATGCATTTATTAGTTGGCATTTGTATAATATATATTGCTCTAAACAATTGAACTCATAAAAATGCATTAATTCGCAATGAAATTTTGGTAATAAGCTTTCAAAACTTTGTACGACCATGACCAAAACGGAAACAAGCTCCACCAGACCAGGAACCTGCCCATGAAAAAAACAGTTTGCCCTTCACGAAGTTTATCAACAGAAATTTGTTTTGTTTAATGCACTTGTAGCTTTTTTTGTTATATTTGATCGGAATTTTATTTTGTGCACCTACTATTGCTTATTCCTGTGTTCACCCCTGTTGATCACCTAGTTACATTTGAAAAAAAAAACATAGAAAAGAAGAAAAGAAACAGGGTAGAAAGAAACAGAGCAAACACGAAACAGGGAAAGATAAGAAATCTGGGAAAAATTCCGTTGGCTGCAAGTTACGTTCTATTCAAATCTAAAAACTGAAAAATAAAACACAAAACATCTATCCTATATATACTAAACAGATTAGAATCCTTTTCTAATACAAAAACGTATTTAAATGGCAAGTTTCCCAAAATACCCCTAAGCCTAAAATGTCCCAGATTTTCAATTACTCCAACAATATTGAAGAGTAAATCCAGCAATTCTAGTCTTTCACCTTCCCCCAAAATGCATTTCATTCGTAGTTAAGATGCATTTCCTGATTAAAAAAATGAAATTATAGCACATTGATGTTGGGTGGTTCATGTATATTTTAGTTTATGTTCTAGGAGATTACTAGATTAAGGTGGGGAAAAAGATGAATAGTATTGGTTTATTATGTGCTTGATGAGGTTGTATGTTCAAAGTCAATGTGGGTAAAGAAAAATTGGTCAAACAAATGTCTGTGGTAAAGGGGTCCCTGACTGATCCTTATTTTTGTCCAAAATGACGTAATCGACCCGACAAAACGATAAAAACTAATTTGTTCCTTTATAAAGATCCGAAAACAGTTTAGGAACTAAAACGACCAATCCTAGAAGGTTTATAGAGTATTTGTTTCATTTCCCATATATATATATATATATATATATATATATATATATATATATATATATATATATATATATATATATATATATATATATATATATATATATATAGAGAGAGAGAGAGAGAGAGAGGAAAAAGGAAGAATATACATTACAGCCCCACCTAAGCTTAGGTACTAAACCGCTTGAAAATATATTGTTTTACTATATAAAGATTACGGTTAATGGATTCACGATTGATACTTCAAGATGTAAATTCAAGATCGACACAATAGGGTTTAGGGTTTAGAGTTTAGGGTTTAGAGTTTAGGGTTTAAGGTTTAGGGTTTAGGTTTAGGGTTTAGGGTTTAGGGTTTAGGGTTTAGGGTTTAGGGTTTAGATTTAAGGTTTAGGGTTTAGCTTTAGTGTTTAGGGTTTAAATTTAGGGTTTAGGGTTTAGGGTTTAGGTTTATGTTTAGGGTTTAGGGTTTAGGTTTTAGGGTTTAGTGTTTAAATTTAGGGTTTAGGGTTTAGCTTTAGTGTTTAGGGTTTAGGTTTAGGTTTAGGGTTTAGTAATGTTCACTTGGATGAAGTAATAAACGATAATTGAGAAAAGAAAACGGAGATGATAAAACAATAATGAAAGAAAGAAATGTTATGGAGAATGATATATTTACCAAGTGAAACCAAACCGGGTATATTTAGCATGTTAAAACGACGTATTTTAGGGGTTTAGTACCTAAGCTTAGGTGGGGCTGTAATATATATATATATATATATATATATATATATATATATATATATATATATAGAGAGAGAGAGAGAGAGAGAAAGAGAGAGAGAGAGAGAGAGATTATCTAGGAAACATGATTGATTTTAAAGAAATATAAGGGCAATTGTGCGAAAATTTGTGGGAAAAGACAATTAAATTCATAAACCATCTCCCTCTTCATTTTTTCGGTTAAATCTTCATCTAGCAATCAAGTAAAAATGACACATTTAAATATATTTGAATAAGTTAAGTGTTCTTAATATTAAGTTTGTTAAGTTAAAAATAAGCACTATTTTAGCTTGTCATCATAACAAATCTGATCTAATAGTTTTCACCTTTCATATTTTTTAAAGTTAAATCTACTATAATAAATGAATGGTTTTTTTGCCACATATCCTCTTCTTCTTTATTTGGGCACTTGGTATTTTCTAAAATTTTTAAAATTTCTATTTTCCACTTGTCATTCTATTGGATTTTTCATTTTATTAAATTAAAATTTCAAATTTAATGTGTAATGTAATATATATGTAAAGTATTTATTAGGAAGGGTTTATATATGTAATGTATTCAATACATTAAAGTTTCAATAATTTTAATAATTCAATTTTTTTTTTCATTTTTCTTATAAGTTCAAACTTTTCAAATTGTTAAAATTTTATATTTTTTTTAACTAAACCCATGTAATACATGGGTCTCACACCTAGTTATTGATATTTATAAGTTAAGATTTTGGTCCGTTATTATATTTTAAAGTTACGTATTTAATTTCTTATATAATTCTTTTATTGTTTTTATTTTTATTAATATTACTTTTTATTTAAACGTACGTAGTTTGGATCTATACTTTATTTTGATACTTTTATGATCTACTTGATATAGTATAAATATACTTATGATATATATGTGCTTAACATTTGTAACTTGCATTTTATATATGAACTGCAAATGAGTAATCTCATGCATTAAAGTTATTTTTTTGGTCTCTTACATAATTTCTTTTTATAAATTTTGTTTTTATCTTACATAATTTCTTTTTCTAAATTTTGTTTTTATTAATTGCAAACAAGTTCTCGGTTTCAAGATAACTTAAATACTAGTTTTAATATTATTTATTATAAAGTTCATTTTGTTCACAATATTTTTTTTATAATACACGGTAATTCATGTTGTAAAGAATGACAAAATTTATATAAAACAAACATGTTATTCTTTCATACGTATATGACAAAACTATTATGAACGCTCTATCTGCTGCGTACTTGCCTTCAAGTTTCCCAATAAACAATTACTCCGTTAACTATGGTAAAAATAAAACTGACCATTAAAATCTAAAGTAAAAAATAATTTTCGAAATTGTATACTATAGTGTTAAATTTTAGAAAGAATTTAAAACACCTACATTTATTGTTTATAACTCTTTACTTTTCTTTAACTATTATTCAAAAGTAGTTAAATACATAGACACAACCAATTGCGTATACAACTTACATACTTCCGAAAAAAAATAACGAATCTAGAATAAAAGCTTAATCATTAAAAAAAAAGTCGAACGCTTATCTTGTGAGTTAGATGATTTTAGACAAATTTCCCCTTATTTGACCCATTAAGAGATACAATGCCAACACAACAAGAACACTTGTAAGCAAAAAACCAACTACAAATTTGAAGTCTAAAACATTATTGCAAAACAAAGCTTCATTACTACTCAAAATTCATATCAACATTGCAAGACCTTCCTTCTTTGGTGTTGCGGACACCTGGCGGTTCCCGGGGAAAGCAGTGCGGGAAACATCAACGAGAGCCTTGAAACTATACGGTTCATGCATAGACAACTCTGATAAAACCTTGCGATTAATTTGAATGTTCTCTTTCACTAGTCCGTGCATGAAGTTACCATAATTAACCTAAAAATGTTTGAACGAAAATTTAGTCTTTTGATAAAAAGATGAAAAGCTCGATAAAATGTTGTAAATATAAACGATGTTTCGAAAAAAAAAAAAATGATTACATAAGCGGGAAAATGTAAAAATCCAAGAACTAAAGGTTGTTTAACATGTCTCTTATTGGGTTTGATATGCCTCTTACCAGATCTGGTAAGAAGTTGGGTCTGACTCAATAGTCAGTCAGATCTGACATAATCAACAACTATCAAACAACATCTTAATCAGTAAAGTCCCATTTCCATAACTTATAATTATGTATGGTGCTTTGAAGAATCTAGCCAGTAATAGCATTGTAATTTTAATATTTTCGTATTAGGTCATTGTACTTTGAAAAACCTAGTCAATTATATTAATTAAAATTACTTGAATTTTTTAAAATAAAATATTGTTTGTTTTTAAGAGAAAGATTTAAAAGAGAGGTTGTACATACACCATGAACGCGAGTGCCAGCATTGATGCGTTCAATCCAAAGGGAACGCATGTCGCGTTTTTTGTTCCTTCGGTCTCTATAAGAATACTGAAGTGCCTTTTCTACCCTTTCTCTAGCTATCCTTATGCAATTCTTTGCCCTTCCACGGAAACCTTTTGCTAGTTTGAATACCTCCTTCTTGTTCATGACTCTAAAGGTGATTACTGGTATGGGTAAATATGTCATTTTACATTTATATCAATAATCACTTGATTAAGGACACTGGACACACATAAATAGGTAAATTTTACATTTATATTAATAATCAGTTTTTCTTACAAGCTTCTCTAAATCAGTGTATTTTGAACTTAAATAATCTAAAAATGATAATCATAATCATAATCTAAAAAGTTAATATCTGTTCTTAACTCTCTTTCAATTGTTGAGTTCATAGCAAATCGATATAAAGCTGTATCAACTGAAATATCATTAATTACTTCACACCCATGTATATAAACGCTACAAGTGATTTCCTATAAGCAACTAATCAACTAGCAAACCACATATTTCACACATTCCAAAATTCAACATAAACATGACATTACATATTTCTATCAGAAAATTTTCAAAATTAACAAAACCAAACTTACCAATTCAACAGCTAGAAACTGCGCAGCTGCAACCAAGCCGATTGAATAAAGATCGCGCGTCAAACACTACCTCTGCAGTAAAAAAGAAACCCAATTTCAATGTTCATTTACAATCAATCGAGCTTCAATTTAAAACTAAAAACCCTAAATGAGCAAATGGATTAGGAGTTACGAGATGAGAGATCAGAGGCGCAGTCGGCAGTTCCGCAGAACACAGCGAAACTGGAGAATGGTCTAAATAGAGTCTCAGTCGCGGCTGTCGCACAGAGCGGAAGAGAGTGCTTGAGGTCGGCAACAAAGGCGCAGAGCCGATTGTAGAGACAAAATAGGCTGTTTGCCTAAATCCTTATTGGTTATTTTTGGGCTTTGGCTTAATGGACTTTGTGTTATTGGGTCGGATATTTGGCAAGTTCATTTTAAGTAGTTAAAACTACGTAGAGATACACATTGCACGCATTGGGTCCATACGGGTCTCGGGTCGGATCTCAAAACGGTATGGTATTTTTTGAAATTGTTTCATACAGTCTTGGGTTAGGTTCTTTTTGGTTTGATTTTTTTTGACCGATCGCTTTTTGGTTAGGTCTCGGTCTTTTTTGGTTTGTTATATATATTTTTTCTATTTAGTTTCGGGTTTTGCAATTCATTTTCGGTATTTTTTTGTATTTCGTATTTAAGTTATTCTGTTAACAAAGATGTCTGATTAACACCAAAATAATTCATTTTCTATATAAATTCCAACTTTTGTTTGAGAAAACTTGAAATTTTCCATTAATAGTGACGAGGGGCGGCTCAATCATTTTAGAGGCTCTAAGAAATCAAAAAATTGGGGCCCTTTAGGAAAGCAAATAAATTCAAACCTAAAACCCTTGGTTTGCTAAAACACCACTTTTACCACTAGATCAAGCTACAACTTGTCTTTGCAACCCAGGAAATATATATATATATATATATATATATATATATATATATATATATATATATATATATATATATATATATATATATATATAATTAACATAATAAGTTTTAAAATTGGAGGTCCTTTAGAATTGGGGGCCCTAAGCCCTTGCTTAGTTTTTGTAAAGCATAGAGTCGGCCCTGATAGTGACCAATGGTCATAATATAATAGTCATCAAACTTGTGAATTACATGTTGTACAAATTTCTCTTTGCTTTCTCTCAACGATACAATTGGTGTTTTTTGTTCTAATATCACAACCTAGAAATTAAAGCAACCTAAAATGAAGAAGAATTTATGATTTCTTGTTGATCGAAGGGAAACTATAATTTATAGGAAGATAAAAATAGCTGATAAAAAAAGAAACTAATTAACATATTCTATTAGAGATTTTGGGGTTGTTTGATATTCTCTAAATCATTCAGATCTTAATGACTCATTGACGTAAATGATTCAAAGGCTAGGAATGAATTTGCCTATGAATGAAAACATATTGTTTGGTTAGGGTTTCAATAACTGTGTTACATTACCATTTTACCATTATGTTTAGAAAATTACCATTTTTCAAACTTAAAAACTATAATATCATATCATATTCACCCACTTCCTTGTATATCACATATATTTTAATAGATATATAACATAAACATACATATTTGGTGTTGTTCCTTTATATAACTTGTTATTTTAAACAAATTTGTAAGTCTAATGTGTACTGTGTTTGTATATTATTTTGTATTTCATAAATAGGGTATGTATAACCCTAGGATAGTTATGCGCCAAAAAGTCAAATGATTATCTAATTATTTAAAATGTATTGTGTTTGTATATTATTTTGTATTTCAGGGAGTTAATTGTTTTTTTGTTGTGAATATTGTGTGTAGAAAAGGGAAAGAAAAGAGAGAAATCGATTTGAGGGGTAAAAAGGGAACTCTTGTATAGATGAATTGTAACGTTCCAAAAATAAGACCCAAAATTTTCATTTTAAAATTTATAAAATGGTGATCCAAAACATTTTCATACAACCAAGATGGATCAAAGTGTATCACTACGTCATAAAATATCATATTAATAAAAAAAATGCAAAATGAGATGGTGTGTGCTCTGCAATCATCCCGATCGCTTCCCTTTCAAACCAAAAGTACCTGAAACATAAACTAAAAACCGTAAGCACAAAGCATAATGAGTTCCCTAAAATACCACATACCATACATAATAAACACATATTAGGCCCCCGCCTTCATCGGGCCTCGCCTGGCATCGAGTCCTACCCGGCCTCGGACCCCGCCCAACATCGAGCTCCGCTCGGTTTATAGATCTGTCAATCATCAGGCCCCACCTGACATCGAGCACTACCCGGTACATATATAAACATATAATCATAGTAATACATGTGATAATCACAAAGACAATAACATACAATACAATCATTAGGCCTCGTCCAGCATCGAGCCCGGTCGGTATACATACCAATGCATATACATGCAAGAGTCACACATACATCTATCATCCTAACATAATAAACCATGGGCCGATATTGGTGCCTTCGACCCGCTAAACAAAGTGAGGAAACTCACCTCAAACTGCTGAGTCACTTTGATAAATCTCTATCTGGTTGTCCGATAAAATCCCTGCGCTATCATAATAAAATAACATCCAATTAATAATTGTATTCCGACCCATAACTAAGAGTCTAAACTAGGGTAAAAAACCATTTTACCCTTTACCTAACTTGACCCAAGGCCAAGGCCCAATTCCAAAATGGTCACCTAAAGCCTAATTACAGCCCAATCCTCCAAATTGGGCCAAAATCCCTTTATGGACCTTCATCCAAAAGAAACCTATATAACAACATCAACCCAAAAATAGGAACCTAATGTCCCAATAAGACCCTAATCTCCTAAGTTCCAAACATGGTCCTGAAACCGAGAAGCCCAAATCCGATGCCCACCCACTGACTACGCGGGGCGTACTCAGCTCGTACAGTTAGCGTACACCCTCTTGGGCTAGTACGCGCAGCGTATGAGCTTGGTATGCCCATCGTACTCCCCAGTTGGCTACCCACTCCATTAAGCACTTAATCCATCGAGACTTCAAGCCAAACTCTCAGATTTGATTCTATAAGACCACTTATCATGTAAAGTTGGAAACTTTACACACATGCATGGCTTAATGGGGCTCAAGAGCTCATAAAGAGCTTAACAAATGGTCTTAACCAGTGTTGTAAAAATCTCGAGTAGGTCCCGATTAATCTACGATTAATCCCTAGGCACTACTCAACCGATTAGAAGGCGCCTAGCGATTAATCTCTGCATACACAATGAGTGAAGCAGTAGAACCCAGTGAAATGTTAACACTTTAAAGAAGTTATATTTCAATACAAACTATTTAAGGTATGGTTATTGTTTTATTAATCATGTTAACCTATTTTTTTATGATATTAGTGGTATTTATGAACTTTTGTATAATAATAGTCATATTTAATTTTTAATTTTTTTTTGACAAATTAGCAATTAATGGTCCCCGATTAATCTCCGTCTAGCCGATTAATCTCTTAACACCAGTCCACCGACTAGCTAACGTCGAACAATTTTTACAACCATGGTCTTAACACATATTGAGTTCAAGATACACCATAAAGCTTGCATTTTTATGAACAAGGGGACCAAAAGAAGCCTAGATCTAACACCAATACTCCTGGAGTGAGTCAAGAAGCTCATCAATCATTCCAAGGACTCAACATGCATAAAATAACAACATAACTAGATCTAGCATTATGCATCATCAAGATGTGTGTTTTTTACCTCAAAAAGCTTGAAAATGATGAGCTATCCCCGAATCTTCAAGCTCATGACACCTCTCCAAATGGTCTTCTTCTTCTTCTCCTTCACAAACCACAAACAAACACTCTTTAAGGCTTAAAACTCACAAAAACACACTACGCTTTTGATTTCAGGACAAAGGAAGGTGGAGGCTGGCTAAACATGACCAAATGAGGCTATAAAAAGTTTTAAATAGGGTGCAAGACATGCGTGGATGGGATCCATGATCATGATATCAGGCTAGTACGCTAAGCGTACCACCTAGTACGCCCAACGTACTAGCTTAAGGACCAAAATGCAAAGTTTTTTATTAACAAGGGTTAAATGCAAATTTTACCAAACCCGAGTGTTACATGAATGGTTCAAACTTTTGTTTCCGTTGAATAGTTTAGAGGTTCCAACCCTCTCATCTTATCGAATCAGATACATTTTTTATACCACTCTTAATGGTTCAGAGCCTCTTAATTGAATGGTTAAAAACTACCAAAGATCCCCTAGGTTGATTGGAATAAAAAAAACCCAACATGTTTTTATCTAATTCTTAAAAAATACATTATATTTTTTTAGTTTGTAAAACCTTTGTATTTTCTAAAATTGTCAAATTTAAGGCTTTCAGATTGATAAACCTTAGACAACCAAAAATGTTAGGTAACATGTTCTTAAGAGTTTGCTGGTTACAATGCCTTAAATTAGAATATTTCAGAAAATATAAGGTTTTTTTGAACGGCTAAATGTATTAAACTAGCTAGAAGCTAGCAAAAGAAAACCGGAAAAACAA